AAATTTTACGTACCATATTTATATCATGCACTTATATGTATTTGTATAAAAAGTTGCTTACGGGAAAACTGAGTTTATATGAATATATTTTTCATATTGAATTATGGAATATTTAAATAAGTGGTTCCATGTTCTAATATTAGAAATTTTGTTTTTATCTATATCGCATGGTTTGGTGATGCCTAAGTGATAAATCTTTAAAATGTAATTTGTAATCTATGTAATATTTATTTCAGACTATTAGCTCCATAGTGATTGTCGTGATTTTATATGAGGCTGGCACCATAATACTGGAATTTTTAATTATGCACATATTAGTTTTTCCTTCTTCTCCCCCTCCCTGACTCGAAAAAGGGTGAACATCTGATGTGGTCACATTAAATGTATGTTCTTGGAATTATTTCAGTCGTCTGAAAATAGATAATGGCTTTTATCTGTGGACAATTTTTTCTCCAACAGGTTTGTTATAACATGACTAATCGATTTCATCAGACAACTCATTTCAGTTCAGTTTTTCTGCTAAAGTGAGAGAAATATTACGATTGGCTGTCCTCACTGTAGAATATTTTCATTGGGCTCCCATCTTCTGCATTGTTTCTACTTTTAATTTTATTATATCAAGAATCAAGGAATTCCACGTTTATATTTTGCTATTCTAAATTATGATGATGACGACATCTTCTAAATTGATTCTGGTCCTTAAATTTTTAATGCAAAATTTAATTAAAAAATCTTTTAATATTTTTACCTTTTTTCTCATGCGAAGACATTAACTTTTTTTTTTTTTTTTGCCTTCCAAATTTTTATCCTATTAGATGAACCCCTCTTTTGATGATGATAAATTTTTAATCTTTGATGATGTGGAGATAAAGGCTTCGTGTGTAAGTGCTCCATAAATTAAACTTCCTCGATCCTTGATATTTTAATTGGTTGAGATGCTTAGCTGTACTAGCTTATAAATAGCGGGAATTAGTGAATCTCGTGGCCTTTTGGGATTTTTTGTGGTTTTAATTTTTTTCCCGCTTCGCTCTGGTTTTTGCTGCTTGTCTCTTCTTGCTACAAATGTGTCGTAGTCAGCCTTTTTCATGGTTGGCGTTTCTTCGCCTTCTTTTGCAGTTAATCTAGCAATCACTATTATATTCTGGCATTGCTACTGGAGATGTTTTACATACCAAAAAAAAAAGTGCTGACAGCTGCTGTTATTTTCCAAATGCGAGAGACAGCCCGTACACTTTTTCTTTTGAAGTACGTTTTGACTTTTCGTCCGCACTTACCATGTGAGAGATGTTGAATGCTGTTACGAAAGCTGTGAAGTTATACTCGGTGCAGAGGAATACAGATTTTTTAGGTGCCAGGAGGGATTCTACAGTGGCGGACTTCATGCAATCAATATAATGTAAAGTCTGGCGAGAACTGATAAATAAACTATTTTTGAAAAATGCAACCAGGACTCTCTCTTAATAATAAATAAAATTTTCATGGTCTTTCCTTTCCGTCAACCTAGGCTTGACACGTAAAATGCCTTCATCCTCTTTGAACACGCTTATTGACTTCAGTTTCTTAAGACCATCAGATAAAAAAGAATCATGTTGAATAATCTTCATGATAGATTTCTCAGCCCTTGTCAATTCATAAACTTTAAACTCTCCTGCTTCTCTTTCTTCTTTCCTCTTTCGGGTATTTCCTATGAATCTGTGTATCCACCCAATCATTCTAAGTATTTTCGTATGCTTTGAAAAATAGCCAAAAAATTGTGAAGACATATTGCTAACATTGCTTAACGAAACTACAACTGCCTTACGTTTTTCAGTATTAACCTCTTCTTTATTATCGATTGGGATAGAACGAGGCCATTCTTCTTCCGGCAGTGCCAACCAAGGTGGGTCCTCCCACCATCTTGATCCAATGAGTTTCCTCACAGAACATCCTCTTGATGGCCTATCGGCTGGATTTTCCGCACCTGGTACATGATGTCAATTTTCACTATCCGATAGGATTCTAATTTCTGAAACTCTGTTATTCACAAAAGTGCTCCAAACTTCTATGTTCTTTATCCAGAATAGTGCTGTTGAGGAATCGGTCCAGTAATATTCCTTTGAAATTTCGACCTTAAGGTCCTTCTTAACAAATGATGCTAATCGCACCCCAATAAGACAAGGAAGCAATTCAAGTCCTAGCATACTTATTTTTTTCAAGGGAACCACACGTACAATGGCTTGCACTAGGGTCATTTTTGACTTCTTTTTTTTACTTCTCAAATATACTACACTTGCATAAGATCCCTGTGAAGCATCGGCAAACGTATACAAACTAAAAGATTGTCCTTCTGTCAATGAAAGTAGTCTGGGAATCTTCACAGAGGATATCAAGGGCAATTCTTTGACCCACTTCAAGAATTTTCTTTTAATATCTTCAGGTAACTCTGCATCTCAGCTCAATTTAGTTTCCCAGCTTTTTCGCAAGTATAACTTTGGAAGGAGTGTAAAAGAGCAGGTGAAACCTATTGGATCAAAAACTCTCTGTACAATTGATAGTACATTTCGCCTTGTCACTGAGAGATCAATTAAGTCGATATTAAGTATGTCACAAAACAAAGAATCTTCATATTTATCCCACAGAAGATCAGAAGATCAAGTACTTTCATTGGTTCGCTCATTATAGATTTTCAGTTTTGTTTGCTCCCACCCTCTTAAGTCAAAGTTAGCACTTGCCATTAACTGAGTTGATTTTTCAAAAAATATTCTGCTTCTTCTATCGAATTCACTGAAGTGACACAGTTGTCAATATGGAAGGAATTTTCCAATTTTGTAGCCACTTCCTTCAAAGAAGGTTCCACATTGGTCTAAATGAGGGTTGATCACTGCTCCTAAAAGAAACGGACTGCATTTTAGTCCGAAGACTACTTTGTAATTGCGAAAGTTTCTTATTTCCTTTTGTTCCGAGTTTTTTCACCAGAGGAATCTTAGGAAATCACGATCAGATCTTTGAGCAGATATTTGAAGAAAAGCTCTCTTAATATCTGAGATAATTCCTATTTTTCCTTGCCGAAATTCAAGAAGCAATCTAGGTATTAATTCAATTAAATTTTGACCTTTTGCTAAACAGTCATTAAGTGACAGGAAATCCTTTTGCTTGCACGAAGCGTCAAATACAGGCCTTACTGCTGGTTGTGCAGTTATCTTTGAAAACCGGTCTGTGGGGAAGATAATGATTGTTAACTCGTTCCTCTTCTTCTGTTACTTCTTTTATTACTCCGGATTCCAGACATTCTTCGAACAATTTTGGTGACGACGGAAGTGATCGGTAAAACAAGTCAAGGTAAATTTATTGGTTTTATCGAATTTAATTCTATTTGACTTTATTGAATTTATTTTTATTGAAATGGAATCGTTAATTGAGAAACGAAAACCTGTCAGAGCGTCTTTATGAGAACAATTAATGCAATTTTGCGGAAATTAGAAAAGGAAATTCCTGATGAAGAATTTATAAAAACGAAACTTGTTACTTTAGAACGTTTATCTGTTGAACTTAATGCATTTGATACTCAAATATTAAATTCAAAATTTTATTCAAATGATCAGTTTGAAAGTGAATAGGCGAAGGTTGAAGAATGCAAAGAAAAATTAGATTTAATACTAGTAAAAACGAATTATTCTTCAATCGCCAAATGATACAATCTACTAGCAGTATTCCGCCGAATTCGAACAAACGAAAACTGAAATTACCTGAAATAGAGTTAAAACAATTCGGTGGCGAAATTAAAGATTGGTTACCGTTTTGGGGGGCAATTTCAGCGAATACATGAAGATAAAGAAATTCAAAACGAGGATAAGATGCATTATCTCGTTCAAGCGACCGTACCCGGTACGAGACCACGTGATATTGTAAATAGCTTCCCTGAAACTGCCGAAAATTATGAAAAGTTTATATAAAGCTTAAAAAATAGGTTTGGCAGGGAAGAATTGTTGGTAGAATTCTATATTCGGGAATTATTAGGTTTGATTATTAAAAATGTCACTGATCAAAAGGGAAAATGCAGTATATCAGAAATGTATGACAATTTGGAGTCGTATTTACGTTCGTTGGAGTCAATAGGAATGACAAGCGATATATGCGCTGCAATGCTGTTTCCGATCGTGGAATCTTGCATTCCCGAGGAAATTTTACGAGTTTGGCTTAGAAATCATGCATCAATAGTTACAACGGAAAATTCTCTGAGAAATTGAAACAATTATTATTGATTAAGACACATTAATTATTATTGCTTTTCAAGAATGAAGTAAAAGGAGAGCAGATAATTTCTTTGGCAAAAGCTGGATTTAAGTTAATTGATTCGGGTGCAAAGAAAGAAAGTAGAAGAGATAAAAGGTACCAGAGTGAACATTTCGCGCCTACAGCAAATGATTTATTCTTAGGCCATAATAAAGCTACCAATTATAGTGAGAAGAATTCTTGCATATTTTGTGAAAACATTCATGAAAGTCGAGATTGTTTTGTTGCTCAGAAGATGCCTCTGAGTCAAAAGAATGATGAAATTAAGAAAAAGAAGGGTTTTTACTTCTGCCTCAAAACTGGACACAGGGCCAAGCAATGCAAGATACTAAGACATTTACTGCATGTATGCATCATATTTGCGAAAAGCACCCAAAGCAATTAAAGAATTTCTCTCACAAATTTGTTTTTTTTTATTTATTTTAATTACTATTATCTCACACTAGTTCCAAAGATTCCAAGAATATTACTTCTTCTCTTCTGTTTCTTAGTTGCCTAAGATTAGCCCATCATGCTTATCTTCTATTATTATTATCGTTATTATCAGTCCTTCATACAGCAAAAGAACTTTTATAATTATTAAAATACTGGAAATGTAATTTTTTTTTTTCCTCCAGCGAAATTCCAGCGAAATCGTCTTTGGTTGAGCTGTAATGAGTTGCTGAATTGGTGCCGTGGTTTTGAGTCACGTAGTATTGACGTTAAGCTGCGTGGCAAACTTATTTCACTTGGAACATGTGCCCGACGCGGCGTGGCGGTATTTAACTAGCACGAGGTTTCTTATTAAAATCGTGTCGTTTCTGCCTGTGTGGTGAGTTTAATTCTGTTATTTGTTGTTCTCTAAAAGTACGTTGAGTACTTACTATTTTATTCATATACTGTTGTGAGAAATTTAATACTTGTACTATGCAGTCGAATCAGACCGACAGTATTGTAGACAGCTCTCTCGCCGAATGGCCGACATTACATGATGTATGCAATAATAGTAAGCAACCTCTTCAGAATGGATGCTCTGCAAAAAGTAATCGAAATGAGCAAAGCAGAACTGTGTCTCCGATTGATAAGAGCGAAGGTGATGATATCACACAGGAAAACGAAAATTCGACACAACAACGCAATTGCCGGGGGGCCAAGAAAAAAGGCAGTAAGCTTAAATGGAAACCCGTACCTTTAGAAACACCCCCTTATAAAAATCGTTATCATCGCGGCGGAAGACAAGGATCTGAAGCTTCTCGTAATGGTTTAACTAATTCAAATAAAAACGAAAGTAATGAAATACCAAATGGTTACGAAAGCACCAGAGGCAACACGCGAGGTCGTTACAGAGGCAAGAAAGGTAGAGGCTATCCACCAAATAGTCGGCATCAGCGTCGAGAAGGAACTGCTAAAGATAATGAAACTGAAAACAATGGGGAACAAGCTGTGCAGCCATCTGATGCTGAATATTACCCCCAGGAGTTTTTTGATCCTTATTTAAGTGGTGATTATTATAAATCTGCTACTCGTCGCAGTTTTATTAAAAAGGCTATTCGTAGTCAAATAGAATATTATTTTAGTGAAGAAAATCTTGTAAAGGATGTTTTTGTGAGACGTAACATGGACGCTCAAGGCTATGTGCTTCTGGAATTAGTTGCAACATTTCGCAGAGTGCAGAATATGTCAGCTGATTTAGATACTATCGTGGAAGCTGTTAGTGAAAGTGATAAACTGGAAGTTCTTGATGGCATAAAGGTTCGCCCAGTGATAGATCCTTTAAGGTGGCCACTTTTAGAGGAGGACTTAACTTCTGACAAAAGTCATCTGTTGCTGGATCCTCTTGAGTATCGACTTTTAGAACAAGATGTGTGGTGCGATGAAAGTCATACAATGATTAGTCCTTCGGAATGGCCAGCTGTTGAGCATGATTTACGGTCACATACTCTTCGACCTGATGTCCCTGACTTTGTACCTGGTCAACCGTACATGTGTACTGTGATAAATGATTTACAAAATATGCACTTTTATTCACAAGATGATGACCAACACATGTCAAATGGTATAACAAATTCTGCAGATAACCACTTTGATGGTATGATTCAAAACACACCTGTTGAAGCTGCAAGTTAAAAGTGTTTTATTCCTTGTCATATTTGCCAGGTATTGCTCAGCCTGGTACATAACTTGTTATGATGCCTTAAGACTTTCAGGATTAATAGACATTACTGACATTACTTGAGTTATTTTGATGCATGCATAACTTGTGACAATTTCATCATTATGATCATTTATTGCATGCATTTTTGTGATAATGCAATTGTTTTACTTATTTCAGTCTGATAGAAATCTTATTTGCCAAATTAATGATTCCGTTGATAACTAAGAAGGGGGGAAAACTTTGCGTACAAAATATTTGTTATATGATGTTTTTAAGATTGCATTAGTATTCTTATGCTTATTTCAATGTAAGCACTGATTTCTGCCAGCTTTAATTTGAAAATCAACTGATATGTTGTTGGTATGTTATCCATTCATGCAGTATGAAGAAATGCTCTTGTTAAGAGCATTATAATATTTTGCATCATTTTTGAGTTTGTAAATCATTTAAATGCGAGGGTTCTCTGATATACGTATTATATAGTTTTTAGTTATCTAACCTTTTTTTAGAATGTAGTAAAATGTTTGATATTTGAAATATTTTGTCTAATTCAAAATGTTGGATTATATTACGACTGAAATTATTTTAGTGCTTTCAAAAGCATTTTTGTATTAGATATTGTAACATTAATTGCTTTATCTATTGTTGTGAATATATAATATGTATTATCTTCCCTTTCATTTTGTGTCGTACTGCACTGAAATGGTTGTTTCATCTTGATAATATTTTCCTGATAGTTGAATGAACTGATGCTTTTGGTAACACATCGAGCTGTGTTAAAGATATGTATTTTCCTTTCTGTATCCTTGAAGTGTAGGATTGTATTTTTATTTGTAATATTCATTATAGAAAGAAATATTGACTTAAAAGCTTGCAAATATCTCATAATTATATAAATGTGTACAGCTGTCTAGTCTCATAAATTGTTAGTTAACAACATTATGCAGTTTTGGATTTGGGAGAGGGAGTTTTGACCAAATATTACTAAACCTACTATTTTGTTGTCATATTATTGCATATTGAGTGCATGTAAATATTTTGTGATCCTGTTGTGGTTTACTCTTATAAGTGGTGTAAATAGTTAACACATATTCTTATTTTCTAAAAAAGTATGTTTCAAGCTTTTAGGTGGTATTTTTCACTTTTAGTGTGTGGCATAAGACTGAAGCTTGAACAAAGATACGTGTTTTGTATTTGACTAGATATCACGTGTATATAAAAGAATCCTTCTGCAGTTTTTGTGTGTACATAAGTTGAAAGTCTATGATCTTTTAAGGAGTAGCATTAACGGTACCTTGTGGCCTTGTTTTCTAAATACTCATATATCAATTTAGTGTGATTGTTTAGTCTAGAACGCAAATTAAAAAATGTGTTCCCATGGATATATTGAAGGGATGCCATTGTTAAATTTAATTTCCCAAATGTGCTATTACATTATTCTGCATATTTTATTAGAATTTTACATTGGAAGTACTGGATTGTAATATGCAGTGACTAATAACGTATCTGTTTATGGTGTATATTTTTAACATGAAATAATGGCTGTAATATATTATCCGTATACTCTGTTCTATTTAGGCACATTGTGTACTTTCATGTTTGTGTGTTAGGTATTTGGTGGAGTGAAGTGTGTATGTATGTGTGACTTTAAATTATAGATTTAGGTATATCATTTTAAGTCTTGTGATTTTTATGTTATGATTTGTGATAATAGGAAGCTTCAAGTGGAAAGCTCCCAAAAATTGGAATTGAATTACAGTTGTGCCTCAGTATCTGTGGTTTTATGTGACAGGGGGCATTCATGTTCATGATAGCAATCTATAATAAAAGGGGAATATAACTCAAGATGCATCTAATGGTATCTCTACAAACCTGAATCGTGAATGTAATTAAAATTGGAGAATAGAAATAGTCATAGTGGAACTTCTCAAACTCTGATCTTATGGCTCTGCGTTGTCTTAAATATGCTGGTAGAAAATCTTGACTGTCAGTATTTGATTATTTAATTTATCTTTATTTCTGAAGCCATACTGTTTCATGTTTGCTTGAATTATTCAATCTGTCAACAATATGTTAGCATTTACAGTAAAACCTAAGCAGGTGAAAATTGATACTAGTGTACACTAGTATTTGGAAACTGCTAGTGGGCTATTAGTTGAAGATTGATTTTTTATTTGTACCATCTTGTGAAACAGTGTTTTATGCTGTATGGTACAAGAAGTACATTTATTTTTTTGCTTGGTACTTCATTTTATAAATGAGTTCATAATGCAAATTTAGCCAAGCCAAACAATCTTTTTTTTTTTTTTTTCTTCTTCATTTTCCATCCTATTTTGATTCTCAGATGAATTATGTTTTCGCTAGATTTTTTTTTTTCTTCTTTTTTTTTCCATTTTACTGTTTTAGTTAAACAAAAATATTTTATCTTTAAAATACAAAAGAAAAACATGTACTGAAATGTTCTTAACTGCCTATCAAGATTTTTGTTTGAAATAGTTTTAAGGAGTACTTTTTTTTTAAATTTTATTCTTATTTTATTTCCAAACCAAATAATGTTCCTGGTAGAATCTTTCTGTTTTGTTTCCAAGTGTTTCAGCTAAATGAGTTAACTTTACTTTTGAAATAGAGATTAAAAATGACCTATTAAGGTATTAAGTGCCTGTTAGCTAAAATTGCGATTAAAATTTTCACTGAAATATTAGAACAAATTAGTAAAGAAATCTATTTTCTGCAAGATCAATTTATATATATAATGTTTAAGCTTTAGCATAAATTTTAAAAAATCTGAAGGGAAGGCACTAGAATTACAATCTTTGAAATCAGGGTAAAGAACATGTATGAAAATGCCTAATCACTTAATTGTATATATTTATTCTGCATATATCTCTTTTCAAGGATGAAATATATTCATATAAAATAATTTAAATAAGTTTTAAAAATAAAAATTAGTTCTTTTTGTTCGTTAAATTTATTATGCTACCGTTAAAGTGGCTAAAAATAAATAAATTTAACTTGCAGAATATTTTATTAAATTTTATTAAGTGGTTAAAAATATCTATCTTCAATGCTTAAAACATGGAACTTATTGAACACAGGTTATTGTACATAAAGTAATAATCCTGAAATTTTCTGATTAGTACATTACAGTTGCCAAATGAATAATGTACGACCTATTGTATGTTATTATATTTAATAGTATATTGTGTAATGTATTATTATATACAGAACAATTTGATGGTATGTTATTTATTGTTAATGTCTTACATGTATAATTTGACAAGTAAATGTAACTAATAATGTATGTTACATAAATGTTCTGTGTAGTATAGCATTTGCTACTGTCAGCAGTTTCTTGCTTCTGTAATAAGTTTTGGAATGTTAATACCTGTGTATATGGAGGCACTACTGTATTTTCAAATATGTAATTATTTACTTCGTATTTTTTGTAATTTTCATGATTGTGCTGATGCGTGAAATTTTTTCTGTGTTTTTTTGGTATTTTTATATTTTCTCTTTTTTATATTATGCAATATGAAAAAAAATTAGGAGGGAGGGGAGTTTAGTTATTGTTTCACAGCTTTTTTTTTTTATATATATAATTGTATCTGAAGATGTCTCTGCAATTGATGGCATCATACTTTTTCCTCAGCATTTAATGAAAGGCATGATTTTCCCTTTTTTAGTTCGTGAAAGCAAGTGATATTTGCTGTTTTATAACTGAATATGTAAAATAATCTAAGAGCATTTTAAAGTTTCTTTTAACATAAGTTCAACTGGAATCAATAAAAAAAATTGTTTTTCCATATTTCATTTGTAGAAGCTTATGAAAAGGTGCAGGATTTTGTTTGTAATTTGCCATTCTGTTCGAACTGGTGTTTAAAGTACAGATTTCATTAGAATTACGATATGTTCTCATTTCCTGCCCTTTTTGTGAGTACATTATGCAAATTTCTATTACTAAAATAGTTTTATATTTGTTAATTTATTCAATGCATACATTAAATTGCAATAAGTATGCCTGTACATGTATATAAAAAATAATGAGCAAATATTTAGTTTGGGGGGAGGGTAATATTTTTATTTTACTCTGAGAAAATTAAAATCTCATTTAGAGGTTCATTTGATGAATTCCAAATTCATTTTATTTTAAATTCTTTTTTTTGTATTGTAAATTAATTAGTGTTAAAGCTGATTAATTTCTCCCTGGTGTAATCTGAATTGCTTCTTAACCACAAAACCAGTATTAGATTTGGTGAATTTTAATAGTATATTAACAGATATGTTTTTTCTAAAATTGGTTTTCCCATTATATATTCATATTATGTATGTTGCATATTTAAGTTACAGCTAATATCTTAGCACATACTATATATTGGTTTTAATGATTTTTTTTTTTTTTTTTTTTTTTTTTTTTTTGTATGAAACTGTGAAACACATAGACTGAGTTGTATTTTGTAATCTCAGATTTCTGTCATAAAGGTGAAAATTTTGAATTTTTGAAATATTCTAATATAACCAATATTTATCTTACTCTTAATCTGTAGTTGATTAAGTATATATTATAAATTGTATTAAAATAAGCAAGCATTTGCTATTTCTTAATAAATGTTAAATTAATTGAAAAAATATTTTGTAATTGTTAATTCTAATTGGCATATCACTGTTTAGTTTCAAATAAATTATCTTTAAAATCAGTCTGAATTAAGGTTTATTATTTCACAAAATATTTATCAGTCTTTTTTTGTGTTCTTTATATTTGAGCCTTCAAAAAGTGAATTCCAAGTCCATGTGTAAACTAAATACAGTGGTACCTTAGTAGATCAAGGGTAGTCAACCTTTTAAGTCTGTAAAATTTCTAGATCGCCCACCCATTCACAATAACTTAATGTAGCAGAACTACAAAGAAGTTTTTAAATGGAGGTTTAGTAAAACATATATAGTTAAATATATCCATTTATTTGTAGTATAATTTGCAATATTAAGCTTTAATAGGCAAAAAATTCATTAACAAACAAAGCGGTATAAATGTATAGAATCGAGTTCGCTGCACGAAGGGGAATGGTAAAGTAGAGAACTAAACTTTAAAGGGCATTTATATATATCCATGAACCACCTTGATGACATGGTGTTTGTATCATCCATGATCCCATGTATACATCCATGCATGTTTCGATCCTCTTTGCTCACTATGGCACGAAAACTTTCACTATCCAGCGTGAAAGCCTTAAGTGGCTGGTAGGGACCAGTTTGACTATCCTTGGTACAGATCATTAATCCATTCCAAATCCGGGAATATGCCTAATAAAAAGAACATAATTAATCTGTTCTCATAAAAAATCATATCCATATATAACACTGTTTAATACAAAAATATAAATGCAGTGTGCAGAGTATATACTGTATGTAAATGTAAATTTATGATTACAGATTTATTAATCTCTTTTAATCTATCAGATCCCTGCATGGACTTGGTTAAGCATCACCAAGTTTTTACTAAAATTCTGTTCGAAGAGCTTTTCTTCTGCTTTCTTCAGAGGCTCAGGCCCGTGCTGTGCTTTCATATAGAGAGGCTGAATAAGCAGCGAAATCAAAACATTTAAGAGGCAGTATTTCGAAGACTTGCATCGTACTGAGAAAATTTACCATCCATGATAAGTCATGATTATTATCAGAATGTATAGCATTTTAGCTTGTTTTAGTGGTTGAGTTTTCATTTTTGCCCTTAAGCTGTTTATCATTTGGTATATGTTTTGAATCTCCAGCTGGCTCCCCCCTATTGTAAACTACATTATACCTGGCAAAATAATGTTTATGATTTGAAAAATGAATTACGAATTTTGTTCATTTGTCAGATGGAAATTGTAGCTGATCTTTGGAATACGGTAATTTGTAGGTGATTTGTTGATTATTTATCTGCCTATTTGCTAAAATTACTAGGTTGAATCTGAAGATGTTAAACAGTAATTTGCGTAGACTGGTCTAATGTTATCCAGAAATATTTTTTCTTATGAGATAATTATTCTTATAAACCGTATTGTCTTACATTAATACAGCTTTTTACAGAATTTGCAATTTAATTGATAATTTAAAATTTTGCTTTTGTGTTCCATAGCTGCCAACTCTGGTTTTACCATGAGACTTCTACTCTTTCAACTCATCTTCCAGTCTTCAGGTTTTTAATTTTTGTCCTGTATTAAATGAAATGTTTCCTAACAAAAAAGTGGAATTTATTGAAACTTTAAGTTGGCAAATTCCATTCTGCTACCTCTAGTATTTTCAGAATAATTTTTGTTAAATTTTATTTAAACAGAATTGTATTTTTTTCTTATTACATTTTATTAATCTGTGTCTTATTAAATTTCATTTGATCTAAGTTGACTATCTACTGTGACAGTTGTAGATTTTTATATGAAGATTCAAGCAGTGTTTAATCAACTAATATTTGTATTTAATTTTGTTTACTTCAATAAATGGTACATTATTACACACAGATCATCAATTATTAATTTTATTTTTATTATATTTAAAAATATTCCAACAAATAAAAAAGCTTTCCTTCCTTGGGATTTTCTTGGTATAAATCAAAATTACAAAGTGAAATTAGCCAAATAACATAAAATTTAGAATATTCAATTAAGTTTTAATATATTTCACATCCGAGTTGAATTACAAATACTTAAGTAACTCAAACTGTGAATTATGAAATGAGTTAGATTGAAGTTCTTTTGAAAAGATGTTGCCACACAGCATAAACCTGCTGGTTTTAAGATTTCATAATTGGCAGCCAAGGTATTCTAAGTTTTATAAATAAAAGTTTTCTTTTTCTTCTCTCGGTTCCAGAAAAAAAAAAAAAAAAAACTATAAAATAAGATGCTTTGGTATTTGCCAGTGCCTGTCTATAACTACCAACATTTTCACCCTCTGTCCATACAGCATGCTTTCAACATCAGTAAATAGATTTAACAGGTGATTTTTAAATTTCTGGTGAGTATTTTGTGGCAATTGCTTCAAAATACAGGGTATTTCATATAGAATAGAAAAAAAAAAAAAAAAAAATGTACCTGTGAATGCTGTAATTACTTTATTTTGATAAATTAAATTTACAATGAAACTGTAGTTGTCCAAGTTTTTATAGAGTTTGTTCTGTGTATGCCTTTGACATAGCAAATATCTATGCAGTATTTCAGGTCTGCTACACTCGTGATAGAATAGCCTTTGTTAATGAAACAAGCACTTTAATTATCCACTGCTTCAGTTGCTATAAGTCCTAGGAAAATGGAAGACAAACACTTTGCCTTTAACAAAACTCCATAGAAAAAATCACTGGGGATCTCTGTGGCCAACATTGCAGTGGCATAGCATTTGACCCAGCATGGCAATCCGTGTTGCAGCACGGCAGTTTTATGCCATTGTAGTGAAGCACTGTCTTACTGCAAAATAAAGTAGGGGATAACTTTCTCAAAGTGAGGGAGCAACAACTCTGATAGCATAACTTGGTAAATGCACCCATTAGTCGATTTTTCTATGAAGAAAAAAAAAGGGCCCAAAACAACTATTAGAAATGGCACAGAAAATATTTACCTATGGAGAATCATGCTCGTGTTCCATTTAAAATATGGATTTTCCATGCCCCAAAATTGTAAATTATGGCAATTAACTTAGTATGGTTCTGTTATCAGGACCGGATTCAGAAATGGATGTGTTGATGTATATATGTAAGCATAAATGTATGTGTACACATATAGCATTATATGCACATACATTCATACAATTCTGAATACGGTCCCGATGGCAGAACAGCCCCATTAACTTTGCTAGAAATGTGAAAATTGGCTTCATCTGAAAACACAAGTCTGTTTGTGAAACCATCTACTTCCAGCCTATCTTGCAAGCTCTCATAAAAAGCTTTTAACGGTTTGTCAAAAGGTTTTAACACCTAGGTATATGGTCAAGATGTTTCTATAACACACACCATACCATTGCATGAGCCACATAAGAGTTCAGAACTTGAATGACGCATTGATTTTGTGGACATTGTGAGAACATTTCACAAATTTTTTCAACCACTTCAGTTTTGGCTGCTGGTTTTCTTACACAAGCAGCTGGTATTCTTGAAACTGCTTCACCCACCATTCGATGTTGTGATGATATGTCACATTGAATAGTGATGATATGTGTGACCGAATTTTGTGCAAAAATGTCTTTGAATGATGATAAATTATGAGGTTTGGGCATATTCGGAAACGATACAGTGAAATACGTTTAACGCGAAAACGCTTAAGATGAAATATTGGTTAACACAAAATGATGGAACGGTCCCGACAAACTATTTATTTTCATGGAATTTTTTTTTTTTTTAACACAAAACGAAAATCGCTTAACATGAAAAGATTTCCCTTCTGGAAGTGAACAAAATATGGAAAACACCAGCAGCGCAGGCGACATTTAAAAGGGGTGTGAAATGAAAGAGAGGTGGTTTCGTAAGTTTCGTTGAAAGGAGGCTAAGTTGGCTTTGAAATCCCTCGGAATAGCTTGTGACACGAGCCAGTTTTGTTTATCTAAGATACTTTCGCCCTCCACCTCTACAAACGCAACACAAAACATCTCATCTTTGATGAGTTGGCCTTGGAAATTGGTGATGTTTACATCGCAATGTATGTAAAAATCAGTAAGTTTGATTCGCGCCAAAAGAAATGGAGCATATTGAAAGTGAGCCGACACTTGATGAAATGTTTGAGAAAGTTTCTGTATCGTCCGAAGAATTTGTTGCGGTAGATGATGATAATATGTGTACAGCCCTAATTATTTCAGACAAAGACATTTTGGAATTTGTTCAAAGCTAAAAAAATATTGATAGAGATTCCGTGTCGAAAATGAAATGAATAATGCAGCTCCTTTTCACACGTTATCTGAAATGAGGAACATCATGAAAAGAATGCACAGTTTATTGAGACACATATTCCAATGGTGAAATGAATAACAAAATGGATGACATTGAACAATTTGATGCGAAAAATATCAGATTATTTTCCAAAAACTAAATTTTTTTTTTTTTCAAAAAACTTGAAAATTTTGTATTAAATTAAGTCTTTGTGGATGTGTTTGTTTCATTGATTTTTATTAAATACATGCACATATACATATATATGAAATAAAATATACTCTATTAAACTTTTTTGTTGAATATATATTTGTTTTCTTGCAATATCCTTTAACACGAAAAAATATTTCAGTTCCCTCAGTTTCGTGTTAAACGATTTTCACTGTATGCTTTCTCCTGCATGGATGGCACCATTTTCATCAACAGTGCCTCTGGTGGTAGTATTGTAACCAGAAGATTTTTTGCTGTTGCCAAATAAAACTTTTATAATTGCAGTTTCAGCTTAATAAATCAATTACAGAATTTCTGCTATGTTATTCTTTTTGTGCCATTTAGTATGAAATACACTAGTGTCAGATTGTTGTTCTTAGCAACTTTTCTTTACTCCCATGCGATTTCTCTTAAACCACTTTCTAGCTTTTATTTTAATGTTTTGTTTCCATGATAAATCTTTTGTCATGTAGTTTCATTGCATAAGAATTATAATACTCAGGACTTTTAGCAAGTTGCCATATGCATAGAAATAATGAATTGCTTCTGTTTTGTTTCCCAACAAATCTCATAAATGCATAATGTAAAATGTAATACAAATTA